ACACGATCATGATCACGATCATCCTCTTGTTCATCGATTGCCTTGAGCAGGCCCCAGTAACATCTCCTTTGTCCTAGCCCTGAGATTTTAAAAAGTGCCAATTTCAAGGCTCTTTCGGGGTTAGGAGAATGAGACCCATCATTGTTACTGGTATTTGGCATATTGGGTACACCACGGGGAATTTGCCAGACTCTGCTGTGTGGGCAGGTTACATTCGGTAGCCTCCCATTTTGTCCAAAATAAGAATTAGATAATAACATGTTGCGCAGCCGCACACTTCCGGGAGCTGGGTTTTATAGTCTCTGGATCTTGGCCGTTGATGGGATTACACGGCGCCAAAAATATATATATTTTTCCTTTTTGGGTCATACCCGGTGATGCACAGGGGTAACTCCTGGTTCATGCACTCAGGAATTACTCCTGGCAGTGCTCGGGGGACCGTATGGGATGCTGGGAATCGAACCCGAGTCGGCTGCATGCAAGGCAATAGCACGCCCTACCTGCTGTGCTATTGCTCCAGCCCCCTCCTTTTATATTTTTGAGCAAAAGGGCAGACTATGAAATCTAGTGTTTATCATATTTATTTTAGTCATGATCTCTATTATTACTATAATATAGTATACCGATACATGACTTACAGGCTTAAGTATTAATGTGACTTATTGTTACTAAATAATATTTGTTAGGCGCCTCCCATTAGCCAGGGATTATAAAATGTTCCTCTTCTAATTCATTCACGTTTGAGCTTGTAATTGTCTCCACTGAGCATTGTGGGTCTTGAATAACCAAAACAAAAATTTTTATTTTAGGGGTGGGGTCCTTTTTAAAAAAAAAACTCAGGAGTCTTAAGACTGGAGATAGCTAATACAAGAGATAAGGCCCATTCCTTGGGTGTGCTTAGGAAACCATACCTGGTATTGGAGATAATAAACACAATATAGTGTAAATAATATGGTGTAAATAGTTGGCAAAACACGAGAGAGAGAGGGGAGAGAGAGAGAGAGAAAGAGAGAGAGAGAGAGAGAGAGAGAGAGAGAGAGAGAGAGAGAGAGAAAGAGAAAGGGGAGGAGGGAAGTATCCACCATGTGGAGAGGTGAAAACTTGGAACACTGATGGTGGAAAATGAACACTGATGAAGGAACAGATGTTGGAACATTATATTAATGAAACCCATCATGAACAACTTTGTTACTGTGTATCTCTCTGTGGTTTAACTTAAAAATAAATAAATAAATGAAACATTAAAAATTAAATAAAATAATCTCTAGCAATGGAAATTATTAAGCACTGCTATACATGACATAGTGAAGAGAAAAGGGAGTCTCTCATTAACACACTAAATACATATATAGGATATATAGAAAGGGTCAATGATGTTTCATACATAATACCATATAGAAGTTACCTTTAAACTGGGGACACTGGTAAGTGGGAAATGTATACTGGTGAAGGGTTGAGGGTTGGCACATTGTATGACTGAATCCCAATCATGAACAACTTTGTAACTTTGTATCTCATGGTAATTCTATTTTTTTTTTAAAAAAAGGGGGGGGTCGGCGGCGGGGGTGAGGGAAGCTGTAAAGAATAAAGTGAATAAATATAATATGGTGTCCAAGAAAAAAATAAGTTACCTTTAGGAAGAAGGGTAGAAACAAAACACAAGCAGTAACAGTGTGCACCCTGATTCTTGACTGTGTAGTGCTTATATAAGTGTTTACTTTGTGAAATGTATTCCGAGCTGCATGCTTGGAAACTGTGCTTTTTCCTGCATGCCTGTGAAATTTCATTTAAAACTTTATTTTACAGTAATAAGGAGTCAGTAGGTTCCAGTATGTCTCTCTCACTGAAAAGAGTTGCAAAACCTAAAGAAAATGCATGAATCAGCTACTTTCAGCAACCTCTGAAAAGTAAACAAGAGCAGGAAGATAGGGGAAAGACAAGAACCATCCAGCTGATACTGATGCATCATTTTGTCCCTCTGGATTTCCTTGGCCTGGTTTCCAGCCTGGAAACTAGAAATAGACATCAGCACTCCAGTAAAAGTCTGCCAACTCTAAGAAAAGGGGGTCATGCCGCTGAATAACCCGAGAAAGGGGCTCTACAGAGACTCATCTACCATCTTCCCATCAGCATTCCCTCAGAGCTATGTCAGAGAGACAGACACATTCAAATCAGTGTTGGTGCTTCCTCAACCTCTACTTTAGGCCTTTTTTCTAAATGGAAAAGGGTTGCTCATAACACTTTCTGGTCTCCCATCTCTCAACAAATCCTGGGACAATGGTGGCAGCAACTAAGAGAGCACTCAGAAGCCTAACACCCTGCTAGAAAACTATCTTCCTTTCTGATTGGACACTATGTGATATCAAGCGTCTGAGCAAGTACAGCATGCAAAACATCTGTCTTGCACAGGGCCAATCTGGGTTCAATCCCTGGCATCCCATATAGTCTCCCAAGCCCTACCAGAAGTAATTCCTGAGTGCAGATTCAGGAGTAAACCCTGAGCATTGCCAGACATAAATCTGCACCCTTCCCCCACAAAAAAACAGAGGGTATGGCAGGTTACTTAGGCCCCAGATGTTATAGCAGTAAATCACAAAATGTACAATATACAGTGCGGCAATTAAGTTTCTGACCAAATCCAATTTCTGGATTTCCAAAGGACCCCAAAGTGGGGCACACTGACCCTCTCTCCACATGTGCCAACTTAAACCCCACAATTGCCATGTCTGAGCTGCAGTAACTTGTGACCATGGAAGGGCACTAGAGACACCATGGTCCAGAGAAGTATTGCTGGGTTACAACACACAGCTTGGATGTGGCCATTCCACTAGGTAGCCAAGACCTGTGTCAAACTCTGCCTATTGGCAGCCCTGTAGAAAAGTTATCTAGACAAGAAGGAATAAAACCAAGTCAAAGATATAAGCAGAGTCTTGGACTCTCATTCCACAAGCAAGGAAAGTAATAACCCTTAGGAGCTAGGAAAGGCAACGCTGATGCTGCAACAACCAACACCATGCATTCAGAATTAGGCCCAGAACAGTGGGGAGGGGCATGTGCCAAGGTCAGACCACTCAAAGCCATCCTCAAAAACAATGACCATCCATTTCCCACCACCATCCTCCTTTGAAGAGGTTCCTCCCTTCCTGTCTTTGTCACTGTCAACTACCCTTATACCCATGGTCCCCAAACCACCATCATGTGAACATATGAATCTCAAATTTATTTGCTTCTCAAGAATGCTGGCTCGCCAGTGTCTCATTTTACTATGTTTCAGGTGACAAAATCCCCTAAATTTTCATAACCCATTATCATATCTTCAATAAAACATGTGTTTCTCCCCATTAGACAAATTTTTCCACCTCACACAAATCTCATCTCAATTTGAAGCTCCTCCTACTCATAAACACACTGATCTTATCTGTAAATAATCATTTCACCCTCTAACTCTTTATTCTTTCCTTCTACTCCTCTCCATTAATTTCAACTGTCAAAATACAGCCAATGCTCTTAAAAGTCAATCATGCTCTCTAATTTGTTCTTCATCCACACCCTTCCTTCATCTCTTGGGAAGAAAGGCCATTAGTGAGGTAGAAATGTTCACGGGAACCAGTGCTGACTGAGTTTAATCCTGATCTAGAGCCAATGTGGAGAGGATGTTGGTACTGCTGCTGTATGGTACAATGACGCTTTATGCCTAAGACTTTAACATAAAAACTATTGTAAATCATTATGCCTTCAAAAACTATATAAATATGCATAATATACATAACACTAAACCATATGCCAGTGATTGAACTCACATACAAGGCAAGCACCTCACCGACTGTACTATCTCTGGCCCTTCTCAACATTTGGGGATGGTTGACCCGGCTGTATGGAGTCCTGTTAAGAATGATCCCTGAGCACAGGAGCACAGGACCAGGAGTAAGCTCTGGGCACCTCTGGAAAAAGCATCAAAGTAAATTCAAAACAAGCAGAAGGAGGGAATAATCATATATATATAATAATATCTACAAATCATGTGTGTATATGTATATGTGTGTATACACACACAAACACACACATATTGGGGGACAACTATTCACAGAAGGGCTCCTGGGACCACTTAGCAGTGCTTGAAGGACCCTTTCCCTACCTCCACTCCCCAGTATCCAAGAAACTAACAATACTGAGTACCTTTGTTTTTTTTTAAATGTAGGTGTACTGCTATTTATTCAGCCACTGATTAGCTGATTGAATACTGAGTACCTTTGAAGATGTGAAGAAACTGAATTTGTACACAATCCTAGTGAAAAACTGCACAGCCATTTCAGAAAAATGTTTGCCAGTTTTTCAATAAAATCAAACACATCCTTATCATATCTCCATTATTTCTATGACTATATATTTTCCCTTAAGAAATGAAAACTTATATTTACACAAAAGCCTATGTACAAATGTTTACAGTAGCTCTGCCTCTGATTGACAAAAACTGAAAGTAACCCAAATAATCTCAAGGCATCAATAGATAAACAATGTTAAGTCATACAAGTCATAAAACATTTAATTATTAAAATTAGTGGACATTTGTGCACACAACAATTTAAGGTAAATTTAAAAGGCATTACGTTTAGTGAAAGAAATTCATCCCAGTTTATAAAAGTATATTATTTTTTAAAATTTTATTTTGGGCACCATGCTTTACAAACTGCTATTCATGGGGTTCTACAAATGAAATACTCCAGTGCCAGGTGATGGTAGGGCCCTTGGGCTGGAGAGATAGTACAGGGGTTGAAGCACTCGCCTGATGTGCATCTCTATCTGAGTCCCTCAGCACTTCCAAGTGTCACACCTGAACACAGAGCAAGTAATAGCCCCTTAACACTATCCGTTGTGGACCCAAATCCGAAAGAAAGAAATAAAATGTAGGGTCCAAAAGGATGCAATAAGACTTGATTATCTAGGCTTCATCAGACTGATTCAACCACACATAAAAATCAAGAAGAGAGTGACATACTCACCACCACTTGCTCCTCTGCAGTTCCCGTTACTAGAATCCACAGGAAAATCTGAAAGGAGGTGATAAAGCAAAATTCAGAACATATTATTAAAATTTCCAGAATTACTCCATACAAGATACGTACCAAAAGTAGACTATAGACCGAATATGATGGCCACTCTACTCTATTGCAAGCCACAACAGCAAAAGGAGAGAGAGAACAAAAGGGAATGCCCGGTCACAGAGGCGGGTGGGGGGGTCATAGGGTGAGGGTGGCGGGAGGGATACTGGGATCACTGGTGGTGGAGAATGGGCACTGGTGGAACGATGGGCACTCGATCACTGTATGACTGAAACGCAAGCACGAATGTTTATAAGTCTGTAACTGTAACTTCACAGTGATTCACTAATAAAAAATTTTTTAATGAATTATTCCGGGACTGGAGCAATAGCACAGTGGGTAGGGCGTTTGCCTTGCACGCGGCCAACCCAGGTTCGATTCCCAACATCCCATATGGTCTCCTGAGCACCACCAGAAGTAATTCCTGAGTGCAGAGCCAGGAGTAACTCCTGTGCATCACCAGGTGTGACCCCCCCACCTAAAAAAATAATTATTCCATACAAACTAGTTTGTCCCAAGTTTGACTTGGTTCAAACACTGTCACTGTCCTTTCATTGTTCATCAATTTGCTCGAGTAGGTCCAGTAACGTCTCTATTTATTGAGACTTGTTGTTACTATGTTTGGCATATTGAACACGTCATGGGTAGCTTGCCAGGCTTTGCTGTGTGGGCGAGATACTCTCAGTAGCTTGCTAGGCTCTCCGAGAGGGGCAGAGGAATCGACCCCAGCTTGGCCAGGCTGGCTGCACACAAGGCAAATGCCCTCCCGCTGTGCTATCGCTACACGTATTCTAATTAATGATGTGAGGCTGTCAAGTTTTCATCTGGAGGTCAAGCAAGGACAAGATCTATTCCTTCTTCTGAAAGAATTATCAGTTTTCTTGATCACCTTTCCTGATCACTTCTCTTGAGTCCTCATCAATGTTGCAATATTTTTCAATCCTAAATTGTTTTTTGAGTTCCATGAAATAATAAATTACGAGCACATTTTTATTTAGGAAGAGTCTACACGTATTAGGCATATACCCAACATCTGTCTCTTGGTTAAAAAAACTAAACACACCTCCCTCTCCAAAAACCAGATGCATCACACTACTGACACACATTAAATGATTGCTGCCTATGGAAATTGATCAGAAATTATTTTCAGAAGCAACAGAGATGAACAAGGGATATACTAAAAGAAACTCAATATCAGAAATGCAACACAAAACCATCATGACCTGACACCTGTTGGAAAGAATAAAATTCAAAAGATGAAAAATAATAAGTGCCAGGGAGGATGAAAGGAAACTGGAGACCTGAGCAATATTTGTGGGAATAGAAATATCTGTACCTCCGTGCACACTCCACACTATGATATACAAAATTGATTACTTGATCAAAGAAGAACATATAAAGGCCAGGACTACTTAGAGCTCAACAGTAAATCCCTGCATGTATGAGACCTGGGTTCATATCTTGACATAAATGGAACTTGAGAGCACTTATGCTAAGTGAAATAAGTCACAGAGAAAACACAAATACTATCATCTCACTTGGAATCAGAGGAAATGAAACAAAATAAGGAGATTTTTAAAAATAAATAAAATATGCCTTTTCATAGATGTGCTAAGCGATAGCACAGCGGGTAGGGCGTTCGCCTTACAAGCGGCCAACATGGCCGACCCGAGTTCGATTCCTCCACCCGCCTCGGAGAGCCTGGCAAGCTACTGAGAGTATTCGATATGCCAGACACAGTAACAACAAAGTCTCCAATGGAGACGTTACTGGGCCCACTCGAGCAAATCGACGATCAACGGGAGGGCCTTTACCTTTACCTTTACCTTTCATAGATGTAGAGTACAGACTGTAGTAGTTGCTAGAGCTGATGGGTAAAATGGATCAAGGTCAATGACACAAAATTCCATGTACACAGTAAGTCATGGGGTTTCTATGGGCAACACTGTGATTATAATACTAATATACTATATAGCATATTTGCAAGTTTTTAAGAGCGTAGATCTTATCAAAAGAAAATGTCTTATCAGCTACATGTAAAAAAATGCACTCCGACCTCTATCTAATGATATGCACAAAAGTCAGATCAAAATGGATTAAAGACCTCAACATTATGAAGAGATGGATTTTGAAACATTACATGAGGGGGTATGGTGCTGCCAGCATGTCAATTTTACCTGTGAGGCGATTGCATCAGTAGCCTGATGGTGCCTTTAGACTTCCAGATACCCCCAAAATTGCTGCTGTGCCTTTGGCCAGACCTCAAAAACTTGGGGCAAAGTTTACCAAGAAAGTAAACGGCCAAAAGTTAGGTAGAGAAATACCTAACACCCACAAACACCTTGGGCTCAGCTATATAATTGGAGGCATGGCCTCTCTGGTTCCTGATCAAACTGCTTAATGGCCATGATCCCAGAGACTCAGAAACAAATCTCGAAACCCAATGGCTCTTAGCAGAAAAGTGTCCGATCCCTGCAGTAGATTACCGGTGCTGGGCCAACCCAGGTGGGAATAGGTTTCATGCCTTGGCCTGTTCCCCCTGGCAACCCGGTGGCCACCATCCTCCAGAGGTCACTGGACAGTCAGGTTTGGGCCCACAGTGACGAGACACGTGGGGCCTCACGGGATGGGGGTGGAGCTGGCCCTTTCCTCTCCATCCCAACGAGACCTTGAGTTCCCACCTATGAACGGCCTCTCTGGCCCCTGATAAAGCTGCTTAATGGCCATGATCCCAGAACTCAGAAACCAATCTCGAAACCCAACAGCTTTTAGCAGAAATGTGCCCGACCCTGCAATAGGTTACTGTCGCCAGGCCACCCCAGGGGGGAAAGTGTGCTGTCCCTTCGCCTGCTCCCCCTTGGCAGCTATGTGACTGCAATTCACCAGAGGCCGCTGGCCAGTCAGGTTTAGGCCCGCAGTGACAAGACACGCGGGGCCTCACGGGATGGGGTGGAGCCGGCCCTTTCCTCCCCACCCTACAAGACCCCAAGTTGTCACCCACTAACGGCCTCTCTGGCGCCTGATCAAGCTGCTTAACGGCCATGATCCAAAAGACTCAGAAACAAATCTTGGAACCCAGTGGCTTTTGGCAGAAATGCGTCCGGACCCCGCAGTAGGTTACTGTCGCTGGGCCACCCCAGGGGGGGAAAGGATGTTGTCCCTTCTTTTGTTCCCCCTAGGTGACTTGGTGGCTGCCATCCTCCAGAGGCCACTAGACAGTCAGGTTTGGGGCCTCAGTGATGAGACATGTGGGGACTTACAGGATGGGGGTGGAGTCAGCCCTTTCCTCCCCACCCCAAGGAGACCCCGAGTCGCCTCCCATGAACAGCCTTTCTGGCTTCTGATCAGTTGCTTAACGGCTATGATCCCAGAGACTTCAGGAACAAATTTCGGAACGCAGCAGGTTTTGGCAGAAATCCCTCTAGATTTAAGTGTTAAAATTTCAAAATTTCAAAATTGCGCAGCCACTACTGCAGTCACACGACATCATATGTTATTCTTAATCAGCAATAGAAAACAAATTGTCTACTGTTGCCTTTTCAGCAAATCTGAGTGTTGGGGTAAAATCTCAAATAATAGTGGTGGGTCTGGTGTCAAAATATTGAATGTGATCAAAGTAGAGAGAGAGTAATGTAGAAATCATCTGCCCCACAAATAGGGGGAGGGTGTGGGATGCGGGTATACTGGGGTTTTTGGTGGTGGAGAGTGGGCACTGGTGAAGGTACAGGTGTTTCATTGTATGACTGAGACTTAAACCCAAAAGCTTTGTAACTGCTCTCATGGTGATTCAATAAATAAAATTATAAAAAATGAAAGAAAATAAAAAGTGAGGTGGAGTTCATGCCCAATTCAATCAGTTCATCAGTGGCTGAATAAATAGCAGTACTCCTACATAAAAAAAAGGAAACATTATATAACTGAAGTCCAATCATGAACAACTTTGTAAATGTGTTTATTATTAGCACTGTACCACTGTCCTCCCGTTGTTCATCGATTTGCTCGAGCAAGCCCAGTAACATCTCCATTGTGAGACTTGTTGTTACTGTGTTTGACATATCGAATACATCACAGTTAGCTTGCCTGGCTTTGCCGTGTAGGCAAGATACTCTGGGTAACTTGCCGGGCTCTCCAGAGGGGTGGAGGAATCAAACCCAGGTTGGCAGGGCCGGTCGCATGCAAGGCAAATGCCCTACCGCTGTGCTATTGCTCCAGTGATAATGATAATATTATGATTCAATAAAAACTTTTTTTAACTTCCAGGAAAAATAAATAAGTAAAATAAAAATATCAATATCATACTTGAATCCATAAAGTACTTGGAAGAAAATGTAGGCAAAACCCTCTATGACATTGATGCTAAAGCCATCTTCAAAGATGAAACACCACTGAACAAGTAAGTGGAAGCAAACATTAACAAACGTGTCTACATTAAACTTGGAAGTTTCTACAACTCAAAAGAAACACTGACCAAGATATAAAGACAGTCCATGGAATGGGAAAATCTACTCACCCAATACCCACTTGATAAGGGGCTAATATCTAAGATATACAAGGCACTGGTAGAACTTTACAATTAAAAAAAAATAAATCCAACCCCATCAAAAAAAATGGGAGAATAAATGGACAGAAACTTCCTCAAGGAAGAAATTCAAATGACCAAAAAGCATATGAAAAAGTTCTCTACATCACTAATTATCAGGGATATGTAAATAAAAACAGCAATGCGGTATCATCTCGCACCACAGAGACTGGCACACATCAAAATAAACAAGAACAACCAGTGTTGGAGTGGATGTGGGGAGAAAGAGATTCTCTTCACTTTTGGAGCTAATGCCTACTGGTGCTGCCTTTTTGGAAAACAATACGGACATTCCTCAAAAAAATATATATATAAGTTGAGCTCCCAGCAATACCACTTCTGGGAATATACCCTGGGGGCCCAAAAACAC